AGGGGGTCGTCCAGCAAATAGATGTCCGCGTCGTGGTATAGACATCTTAATTTATAATAAATGAATGAATTCAACGACAATTCTTAATCCCTTAATCCCTTAATCCTTACCGCGCTAACGTAATCCTCGCTTTTTGGCCCCCGCTTAGAGATACCCCTCGCTCTCCGCAAAGAGTTTTGTCACCGAATGGGAATAGTTTGAAATCCCTGTCCAGAGCGCACACATGAACTACTTTATTGTATTTCTCTTCATTATATTCAGAACCAAACAGAATATTGTCTCTAACGCTAGATATGAAGGCCCACGACTCTTGTGGGGCATAAGACACCTTTCCCTTCACCTCCATTGAACCCGACGTAACTGTCAACTCATTTAGGATTGACATCAATAGTGAACTCTGTTATCGTGTTTATTGTCAATATATTAGTCAATTTATATCATTCATATTAATCATTTATAAATCTGCATACCTTTCCACTACCAACGGATCCTATCACTGCTAACAACTCTCCAGGTTTTACACAAACACTAATATCTTTAAGAGTGGGCTCAAGGATTTCCTATGTTATCAACAAATTTAAAACAATTGCATTAAATGTTAAATTTATGCCAAATATTCAATCAATGAATTCATACATCATTCCAACGAACGCTCATATTCTTAATGAAAACTCCTTTCTCTCTGTCGTCCACCCGTTTAATAGGTTTCTCAACGCTTACTAAAACTCCATTTCCATTCGCTTCCTTCTCTTTCTCTGAGAATACTGACGACATGTATTCAATCGGTTTGTCTGATTCACTGATTTCGTCGAGAACTAAGAAATCCTGTGATAAACAAATCCAATTCAAGTAATTGATTTTGGGATCAAAACAATGGCTACCAATACCTGAATCCGATGACAGGCGACCACCAGTTCAGCAGTGGCTGCGATTCCGGCCGGAAAATGTTTGGTTAATGTGTTTCGCAATGTATTAAAGAAAGCCATTGTCACGAACACCGATTCGGCCGACAGTTTTCC